AATTCTGATTAAATGGTTTTTCATTTGGAACGATTGTATTACTTTGTATGCCATTCCCTGAGGGAAGTTAGTGCAGGGATGGCGGGAACCCCTCCATAATAGGTTACCAAAAGGTGTGCAGACCCGCAAACATAACATAGGGATGGTGAAGCCCTCATAGTGAGCACAGCAGGTGCACAGACCCAGTAACTCACCACAGAGATGAGCACAGGGATGGTGAGAGTCCCTCATAATGGGCACAGCAGGTGTATAGACCCGGGAACTTAGCACCGGGATGGTGAGAGTCCCTCATAATGGGCACAGCAGGTGTACAGACCCAGGAACTCAGCACAGGGATGGTGGGAGCCTCTCATAATGGGCACAGCAGGTGTATAGATCCAGGAACTCAGCACAGGGATGGCGAGAGCCCCTCATTATGGGCACAGCAGGTGTATAGATCCGGGAACTTAGCACCGTGATGGTGAGAGTCGCTCATAATGGGTACCGCAGGTGTATAGACACGGGAAATTAGCACAGGGATGGTGAGATCATAATGGGTACAACAGTTGTGCAGAGCCAGGAACTCGTAGAGTTTAGCACACAGATATCTCACCAATACAATCCCCAATTGATAGATAAGAAGAGTTTAACTCTGCAGCATCCACCAAAAAAAACTAAAATGTAATCGCTGGGTGGAGTATCAAAAAAAGTTTCCCTTGCATCCCACACTATCTTGATATAACAAGCAGCATGTGAGTGCAAATGGTATGGTCTTCGTGAGTGTAGGGTGATTGGTATAAAACAGGTGAATAGCTGGACGGAAGGACGGGAAATAAAACATATTTTTCATAATGGCCAAAATAACTATCATTCATACAAAGCAATCTCCAGCCAAAGGCGACAGCTGTCCTTTAAATAGGTCGCCATTAAAGTCCTCCCGGGCGGTTCCCATTTAACTTGGCGCGTTCGTCGACAATCATATAAATGAAACACAGCTCAGAGAACGTCCATTATTCTGGCAAGTCACTGAGCCTTCCAGCCGTCCCAGAAATGTACTGATATGGCCGCTTAAAGGTTTGGACTTGCAGACATCTTTACGGAAGGAGACGTATACATCCCTCCATGTCTGCCATATCAAGGGGGACATGGAGGCCTGTTCACTGTGATCTAGATGTTCATGATTCGCTGACGTGCAGATTCCAGAACTGTCTGTAAGATGGACATCACAGGGCCAACCATTTATAATGCAGGACAGTGATAACACTGCCATGGCCATCTGCTGCCAATATGAGTTAGGACAGGCATAACAAGCAATAATTCTTGGTATTTTGAGCCGAGCTAGGGATGGGAAAAATTTAAAGTTTTCAAGTCACCAAAACGTGAACAAAATTGGAACATTTATGGAAATTTTGGCTAAATGCAATGGAGTCAAAGGGGGAAGGTGAATTGAGATTGGTTTTGGTGGCTTTAAAGGATGCAGTGGACTGAGGTTTTACAGAAGCTCCTTTCACCTATCCTGGACCTTTAGGAAAAGTATTTCAGGTGCACATCGACTGAGCCTAGAAAAGAAGACAAAATGTAGTAGATCCCATCGCACTCCTGACAGGATAAAGCCCAAACGAAAACTGGGAGGTGCCGAAAGTGACCGCGAATGCCTCTGCACATCAAATGCAAGATACCATGAAGTCACTCGCAGTCTGTTTGTAGATAGCAGTCAATCTCCTTTATTGACTGAACATGATGTCACATATAAAGGAAATTGACTGCTATCTACAAACAGACTGCAAGTGACTTCATAGAAAAGAAGACAGTCGCAGCTGTCACAAAGTCAGTGATCCCCATGTGAGTGCGGAGATAGATCACATGACATTGTTGCTAAACAAAGCCTGGCCACACATTGTCAGCCATTTTTTTTCATAAACCTAATTCTGTCTAGTGTGCTGCATGGCACTGTTTAAAGCTAATTTGTATGACATTTTGGCAATTGCTTTTTTTTTGCAGTGAATCAAGTCATCCCTAAGCCAAGCTTGTGACTATTGGACCTGGCGTTCTAGAGAGCAATGATGTCAGCCGAGGCAGTTGGAAATGCTGGTTATTGCAGTGGAAGAGTTTCCAATATGTAGGCCTGATCCTTCCCTCCAAGATGGAGCAGAGAAAGTGTGTTCCCTGGCAATGGTGTGAATTCTGTGAGGAATGGCAGATATCTCTTTATATCGGGGTGATAGCTGGTCCACGGGCAGCCTACGGCTAACCTTTCACAGCACAATAAAAGTGATGTAAAGTATCAATGATACATCTGGCAGTTGGTACTACGTCATTTTTGTGAGAGGCTCCCGGCACAGAAAGGCAGATCCTCATGTTGATGGTCCAAGCATGGAGTACAAAATCGTTCACTAAGCCCCCTGTCCCAGTAGCCTCTTGCCAAGATGACAGCATAGGGATACAGGAGTTGGAAACTAACGTTCGAACAGATCAAGCAAAACTTGTGACATATACATGTTAAAAGAAATGTTATTGGGAAAAAATCCAGGAGAGTCAGTACTAAAAATTCCCCTTACCATAAAGACCAACAAATTATCAACACATCCAAGTGTCGGAGAGAACAGGAAGGGTAATAGCACGTTCACCCCAATTTATAGTAAAACCCAACCCAAAGATCCAAGTCTTTTCTATCAGGTGAATCCACTGAACGTGGAGCGGTCAAGGAGTTTGCCGGGGACAGTGGGCAAGTTATCGCAGGTTGGTCAGGTGACCTCTCTCTAATTCCCGTCCTAGGGCTGGTCTCTCATCCGTGGCGGAGGACATGTAAAGTGGCGCGTCTGTCAGCCGCCATCAGCATTACAAGACAATCTTGTTCTTTTATTACAAGTGAACTCTGCCGGATCTCTCAGCGGGGCGGCGGAGTCAAATCAATGTGTCGGATTTCCAGGCTGCGCTCGGAGGTCAGCGGCGGTCTATCATTTGCAGGCATTATCTGTGCCTGTGTCTCGTTCACTCTGAGCCTCCTACTGGCACACCGCAGATTGAAAACAGCATGTCACACAGGCATGACGAGGAAACATTTCAGGGCCTTTTCAGAGTGGCTCCTGTCTATCCTGACCTGAATTTTATTAGACTTTTTTATGCAGTTTTTTTTCTCCGTTAGATCAGTCACTATTGTAAAGGTAAAGAAACCTCAAATTAACAATTAAACATTCACAGGAGACAAATAGATTCGGGGGACGCAGCCTAGCCTGCTGAGTGTCTCTACTTATCATTCTGGCATTCACCTTCTGCACCCGACTACCAAGAAAGCTAAATCTGTCAAAATGTAGCCAGTGTGTTCCCTGGTTCCAGCCCAGCCCTCGATCTGCCCCGAATGCACCCACATTGAAGCATTAAAGGAATTGTGCTTAGTATAGACAGGAGTCTCAGTCCTATTGCTGAATCTTCCTGTAAATCATTGAATATAACTTAGGTAACAGTAGACTGTGTACAGAGAATACTAATCCATGTCCGCAGCCTCAGAGGGGGCACCTATATAATCCTCAAGATAGAGAGAGATTCACCTCATCTCCACATCAACCCGGGGCTGAGAGACCCCTGCGGAGCCGTTTAATAGCCTGACAGACAGGAAATGTGCTGTGCATTGGGGAAAGAGCTCCCCTCTTCACTCCAGCAGTGATCCA